CCAAACTGTTCCTCAGCACATCCAATGCTCTAACCCTGCCCAGATATCCTCAAACTCCCTCTTAATGCTGAGATATCCTCAAACTCCCTCTTAATGCTGATGAATTAGAAGAAATGGGCTCACCTTGCCAGCCATAGAAGTCTATGAGGAGCTGGGTGAGTGGTGCTATGAGGAACGTCAGCCCCATCCCAGAGCGGGCGATGGCGCTGGCGAAGGCCAGCCTTGTCCTGCAGCGCTTGGCCGTCATCACCGTGGCTGCCTGGTAGAGGCAGGCGAAGCCCATACCTGTGGTGAGGGACAGAAATGAGATGTTCCTGCCCCAAAATGGAACTGTTTCTATCGTGAGCTTTAGGGATTCCACATCACAACGGCCCAAGATCATTGTCCGCAGAGTGGAGGGTTCATGGGCTGAAAGGGGGGAACTTCTGCTGGTGCAGTCAGTGGAGAGCAAGTGGTATTTAGTGGGTGGGGGTATTGAGGCTGTGCACTGTTAGTAAGGGGTTTAACAGGCCAGGATTCATGCTGGGTCCAGAAAAAAATCAAGGTTAGTTGAGATGAGTGTGTTGAAACTGGTATTTTACGCTCCTGAGCATGAAGCTTTGGTGCTTCACGCAGCATCCCATGGGAAGGAGCTGGGATGCTCTAATAGTAAAGGAACTGCCTGGTGTGATGTTAAAGGAGCTGCTTTTACTCATGGTGCCCGGTGAAATCTGTGCCCGAGTCGCAGGCTGCTCACCCAGGAGGAGTCCCATGGAGATGCAGAGGAAGGGGACGCTGGTGGCCTGTGTGCTGAGCAGGCAGCCCCCGGCCACCACGGCGGCCCCGGCGATGGAGGTTGGCCGCTCGCCCAGCTTCCTGCAGACCACGGCCACGAGCGGGGCTGGAAGGGGAAGGAGGGACAAAGCTCAGGCTGAAGATGACAAAAGGGCTTGGGGACGTGTATTGGGATCCGGTGCCTTAGGAAGCGTCCGTTCGCCACCGTGGGACAGCGGAAGGGCAGGGACCCTTCCATAGAGCAGCTTGCTCCAAGCCCCTGTGTCCAACCTGCCCTTGAACACTGCCAGGGATGGGGCAGCCACAGCTTCTCTGGGCACCCTGTGCCAGCGCCTCAGCACCCTCACAGGGAAGAGCTTCTGCCTAAGAGCTCAGCTCAGTCTCCCCTCTGGCAGGTTAAAGCCATTCCCCTTGGCCTGTCCCTACATCCCTTGTCCCAAGCCCCTCTCCAGCTTTCCTGCAGCCCCTTCAGGCACTGGAGCTGCTCTCAGGTCTCCCTGGACTTGCTCCAACAGCTCCACATCCCTCTTATGTTGGAGGATGTGTTAATGCTCAGGACAGGATTAATCTGGGATGGGTTATTATTCAGGAGAGCAGACAAGAGGCTTTGTAACCTGGGAGCTCAGGGGTCGGGGCAGGGGAAGGAGTCAAAGCCCAAACAGAGCCTGTTTCCTGATGCACACTGTGCTCAGCCACTGGGACTTCCTTGGAGGTGCCAGCATTGGTGTTAGAGGTGAGGCTTGGCTCTGGGTGCGGACAATAAACCTATTACAGCAAGGTGTCATGGCACACACGATCCCCATCCTTGGACCATGCTCCCAAGGCACACGTGGGCATCAGCCACGTCCAGGATGCAGCAGTCTGGGATGGAAATGGGATCCGCAGAGCATCCCTGGTGCCCACGTATCAAAGCAAATGGCCTTGAGGCTGGGACGCTGCTCCAATCCCTACGGGTTCCAGCTCACCTCCTAAGAAGCGCAGCGAGGACATGATGGAGCCGATCCAGCTGATCTGCTCAGAGGAGCCCCCCATCTCCTCTTGGAAAGCCATGAAGAAAATCCCAAAGGTCTTGAGCATCCCCATCACAAGTACATTGACCTGGATTGGAAGCAGATGCAGGTGAAGTGCCATCAACTGGAGGAAAAAGCTTCTCCTTCCTCCTTCCTTGTGCAGACAACTTGTGTTTTAAGGAGAAACAAGGTGGGACACATGAACTGGTGTGTGATGGGGAGCACCAGGGGTGTGGAATACCAGCTGGTGGCCACGCTGCAGTTTCGTCTTAGACCCTCAAAACCACCTTATGTGCAAACAGGCAGTTCTAAAGAAAGGGAGCAAAATAACACCAGAGCCCAACTTTTAACACTGAAAATGAACCTAAATGGGGCTTATTACTATTGAAGGCGTTGGGCAGGGTGGGGATGGACGTCAGCCAGGGCAGGTTCCCAGGCTTGCCCTGCCACAGGGCAAAGGACAGTTTGTGTCCTTAATGTTAACTCCCTCTTTCCCCCCTGGTAGTGGGTGGTTAATAATTGGCAGGGAGTTACTTTGGATGGAGTGGAAGCAGGGAAAGTTTTCCTGCACTTCCCAGCTTTCTGAGCTAGGGGATGGTGTCTTCCCCATGGATGTGCTCTTAGAGCCTGTGGCAGGGAGAATTAGTGCCTTTAAGAGGTGTTGATGTGCCCGGCCCTCCCAGGAGAGAGGAGTAGCGTGTGTGCTGCCTGCAGCCAGTGCTGCTCTGGGGACCCATCTCAGCTCCAATCCTTCACTGCCCCAAGATGGGATCTTGCCCTTACCAAAGGCACTGTTGGGTTTGATACCCCAGTGCTGGTGTGTATGAGTAGGGAAGACCCATCTGAGCACTGCAAGCTGCCTTTAGGTGCTAGGCTGCGGGTTGGGCACCCTCATGTAGATCCCCTTCATAGGGGAAGGTGTCTGCTCAGCCCTGGTGTGATGGGTGATGGTGCTCGGGGTAGCAAAGCACAGCTGATTTCTGCCCTTCCCTCGGTGGGCGCAGCCTGCCTCATCCTCTGCTCCACCGAGGTCTTTCCATCTGCCCCAGCTCCAGGAGGGTTTGGTTGAGTTTGTTCTGTGCTTACCAGGAAGAAGTGGAACACCACTCCCCAAGCGCAGCCTCCATCTGCAGCTTCAGCCCCTGGGCAATTCCCGGCTGCTGGAGCCTCCGGTTCTTCCACCTTCCTTTCACCTGGGAATGGGAATTCCAGGACACATTAACACCTTGCTCTGTGGCTGTTCCCATGCAGGCATCAGCTGCCTTTGAACCCCGCAGCTCCGCTGGTACTGGGGCAGGCACCGGTGCTTTGCATTCAGCTTGTGAAAGCTGTTGGGGGTGGGTGAAGCTTTCACCAACCTTTTGGCCACCAGATGGGAAGTTGCACATTTGCTGCCTGCAAACAGCTCAATATCCTTCCTCTTTCCGCCCAGATTACTGGAGCCACTTGAGCTTTAAGGGATTTTAAGAGACAAGCACTTTTCTGATGCTTTAGGGTAGATGGTTTAGTTGGTTTGTGCCAAAAGCTGGGGGTCACCATCTACCTGTGTCCATCTTTGAGCTCTCGTGGGAAGCTCTCCCTGCCCTGTCCTTCTCTGCTTATCTCCATTCCATCCTCCCGCCCGTCCTACACCTCTGGCTGTGGCAGGAGCCTGCCTCAGGGACCAGCTGGATCCTAAAGGAGTTGGGGTTGATGAACCTGAAATGTTTCCTTACCCCCTTGCTGCTCCATGCTGGAAAATCCTCCCCAAAACAGGCGCTTGCAGAGAGGAACCGTCTCTTCATTTGCTCCAGAAACTAAATCCCCCCTTCCTTTGGCACTCCAAAGTCTGGGCCTTCATTCACCTCCAGTGAGGATGATGGTGTCCGACCTTCCCAATGAGCCCCACCGTGAGACATGGAGCCTGAGAAGCGCTGGGGCTGAGTGGACGGAGCCCATCCTCCTCCTCCTCCTCCTCCTCTCGCGAGGCAGAGCCCAGCTAGCAGGGCCCCAAGGCCAGGAGTCCCTCCCCTTCCCTGGCCAGGAGCAGGAAGCTCAGAACATTGGGAGCAGAAATCCTACTGGGAGAAAAGAGGAAGGGTTGGAGCTCCAGGAAGAGCCCTGGATCTTGCTGAGCAGAGCAAGAGGTGGCAGTGGTGGATACAGGGGAGCAGAGCCCCATCCCTGCCTGTCCTACACAAGCCTTGGTCTGGGAGACTGCATCATTTGGGATGGGATGCTCTGGAAAGCTGTAGGTTCCCCAGCCGAGATGCTGGGCAGTGGAGCGGAGCAGCCACTCGAGCGGAGCTGTGGTTTGGCAGGGTTGGAGTTGGCTCCGTGCCTCTCCTGTAAACACGCACCAGCTCCTGGCTGAATAGAGCCCTCACGCTTCCTCCTCCGCCCCGTCGCGGGTGACCCATCACCCCCATCAGCATTCCTGAGGGCACATGAGCTTGTGGGATCACGATGGGGATCTCTGCTCCCTCCCTCGGCAGGGAGGGCACTGCCCCAGCTTGCGGGAGGAGCCAGGAGCCTGTGGAGGCTCTTTCCCTATAGCAGGACTTTCAATGCGCACTGAGCTTTTAAGTGCACTGGGGTCTGCAGGGAGCGTGGTTTAAGCACAGCAGCGGCTGTGAGGCTGTGAATGCTGCTGATAAACAGAGGTGCTCCTAGCAGCACAGCCCCAGCCCCGTGACCGCCCTTTTAACTCGGAGCCAGCCCCATTTCCTGGCTCGTGCTCTGCTGTGGAGCGTCCCCTTCACTGCACGCACGCTGCAGGCCTTCCACTGCCTCACACACAGGAAGCTTTTGAGTGTAGTTTTCCAAGGGGAAAGCCTTTGTGCAGGATTGTTTCCCTGCACCATTCCAAATGCCGGAATCTCTAAGAGGGAGAGAGGTCTGGATTTGTGATGCTGAACATCCATTAACAGTTCACACGGGGACCAGGCAGCCAGGACCACCGTGTGTAGGGCTGAACTTCAATCCAAGGCACAGTAAGCAAGTAACTTACACACAGGATGTTTAACTAGAGGAGGGTAAACATTTCCAAGGAGAAATTCCTTGGGAAGTGTTGGCACCTTGTCCCCTGGAGGAGCCTCCACTACTTCAAGTCTTGGTGCACTATTGGTCCCCTCCAGAGAAATGCTAGTGAAGGAGGGAGTGGGAGAAATCACCTCACTTGGCTTTGGAATCAGGGCAAAGCCACGGCCATGGTTTTCACAGCTGGAACAAAGGGAAGTAAAGGTTTTTTTTGCAGGTCATTTATTGATTCTTCCAACAACTAAAGCCACGCACACAAATACACCGTGTAGTATCTGATCATTACACAAGCTTGGTGAGTGAGCCCCGTTTCATCCTCAGCAGCACGAGTGCTAAAAGTGTGAGTGGGAGACCCCGATAGCTGCAGAAGGAGCTGGTTCAGTGGAGAGGGGGAGCTTTCGGCCCAGGTTTGGTACTGCAGGTGTGTTCTGGGCTCGAGCAACAAAGGAGGGAGGTTGTCCAGTGAGGAGGAGCTGGGCCGGGGAGGAGTGAAGCGCTGCACGGGTTCCTGGTGGTCAGGACGCCAGCTTATGGACTGCTACGGTGATGCTGTCGTGCTTCTGGATCATGATGTTCCTAGATCAAGAAAAGGCTGGGATGAGGAGGAGCCAACTTGGGTTGGAGAAGGGACAGGGGTATCAGTCAGTGTCTGCAGCACCTCCAGCTCAGCACTAGACCTACGGTTGCTGCATCTTTTCTGCTGGAGAAGTCTTTTCCTACAGCACTGACCGGCTCCAGCACTGGCTTTGCTATCTGTGGGGATCCCAAGTGGAAGAAAATAAAGCTGCAGTAACCACCACCCCTGAAAGGTTTCCTACTGCTGCTGCAGTTCCTGCTGCTTGAGCTCCCATGAATGTAGAGACTTCTAGATCCTGCCCCTCTACTCTGCTCTCATGAGCCCCCACTTGCAGCACTGGGTGCAGTTCTGGTGCCCTCAACATAAGGAGGACGTGGAGCTGTTGGAGCAAGGCCAGAGGAGGCCACAAGGGTGATCGGGGGCTGCAGCACCTCCTGTATGGAGCCAGGCTGAGAACACTGGGGCTGTTCAGCCTGAGGAAGAGAAGCTGCATGGAGACCTCAGAGCAGCTTCCAGTGTGTGAAGGGGGCTACAAGGATGCTGGAGAGGGACTCTTCATCAGGGACTGCAGTGATAGGACAGAGGGTGATGGGTTCAGACTGAAACAGGGCAAGTTCAGGTTGGATCTAAGGCAGAAGCTCTTCCCTGTGAGGGTGCTGAGGCGCTGGCACAGGGTGCCCAGAGAAGCTGTGGCTGCCCCATCCCTGGCAGTGTTCAAGGCCAGGTTGGACACAGGGGCTTGGAGCAAGCTGCTCTATGGAAGGGGTCCCTGCCCGTGGCAGGGGTTGGAGCTGGAGGAGCTTTAAGGTCCCTTCAACCCAAACCAGTCTGGGATTCTAATTCACATGCCCATGGCAGTCAGCACCTTCCCCCCATGGCTTCAGAGTTCCCCCAGTTCAGGTCAGCAAGAGGAGAGCCCCAGGGCAGACAAGGGGAAAAGCAGCAGCCGCTGGCTGGGAACTCACCCGCTGTCCGACTCCAGGCACACCACGGGGGTGTCGGTTGGGTCAGAGGTGAGCTTGGCTGCCTGCTGCGCGAGCACAGAGATGACACCGGCGTGCTCATCCGAGAGGGTTCCTCTGCCTGCGAGGGGGCAGACGCTGGCTGAAGCCACATCTCCCAGGAACAACCCCACTGAGAGAGGGCTGGACTGAATGACCTTTACAGACCCCTTCCGACCCAAACCATTCCCTGTGCCTCCACTTAAACAGATCCCCTCTGGAGCTGTGGGGGCCGCTCCTGCCTCCCTTTAGCACCGATGCAGCATCTCCCCCCACTGACGCCCTCAAACCACTGGAAGCCTGAATTCCAGCAGCACAAAGAGCAGGCTCAGCGCATGGTGCGGGGGGCAAGGCGAGTGCCACGGCGTGGCGGGGGCGCTTGGGGACACCCAAAGGCTGGTGGGAGGCTCCAGCCGCACAGGGCGCAGTGTGCCCCCCCCCCAGCCCTTGCCCTGCGGTGGGGCTCGGTTACTCACAGCCCAGGTTGAGCCCCTGCGAGTCCGTGCACAGGACGCCCACCACGGCCGGGCTCTTCATGCTGCGGGGGGAAGAGACACAGCGGCGGTGAGGCGAGGGCAGGCCGGCCGCGGCCCCCCTCCTGCCCCGCTGCGGCCCCACAGGCCCGGCCCCCCCCCCCCGGCCCGTCCCCGTCGGGTCCCCGCGGGCCCTGCCCCGCTCTCCCCGTCCCCGGTGCGGCTCCACCGGCCCAGCCCCGGTCCCTACGTGTCCTCCAAGTGCTGCTCCAGCGTCCCCTCCATCTTGCCGCGCCCCTTCACTTCCGCCCTCCCTGGCAGCGGCGTCGCTCCCGGAGACGGCGGCTCCGCAGGGCCAAAAGGCCTCGCCGCGCAAAGACCCCCTCCGGCTCGGCCGCGTCGGGCGGGGACCCGGGGTGCGCCCCAAGCAGCTCCCGGCGCGGAGCCTCCCGGGGTCTGTGGCATCAAGGAGCCGCTGCAGGCTCAGGCATGAGCCAGGCTGGGGGCTGGATGCGGGTCCGGACACTGCACCCCCGGCTGCCTTCCCCTGCCTGCCCCTGGGTGCGGTTCTTGGGGTTTGGGGGTTGTTCTCCCCTTTTCTCCACCCTTGTGCCCCCCACAGGGGTTTGTTCGTGTTTCCCTCCCGCCGCGCAGCAGCGCTGGGCTTTGAACGGCAAAACGCAGTTCCAGTGGTGGATTGGTGGCCCTGCACTGCCTTCCCCAGGTGGAGCATCCTCTCACAGCTGGACCACAGAGGGATGCAGGAACACGGGGGCGCACGCTGGCCTCGCTGATGGAACCCCCACTGCGCTCCTGATCCAGCTCTGGGGCAGCAGCGCGAGAGGGACGTGGAGCTGTTGGAGCGAGGCCAGAGGAGGCCATGGAGATGCTGTGAGGGCTGGAGCAGCTCTGCTCTGGAGCCAGGCTGAGAGAGCTGGGCTGGGGCAGCCTGGAGAAGAGAAGGCTCCTGAAGGGGAGACCTCAGAGCAGCTCCAGTGCCTGAAGGGGCTGCAGGAAAGCTGGAGAGGAGCTTGGGACAAGGGACGTAGGGACAGGCCAAGGGGAATGGCTTTAACCTGCCAGAGGGGAGACTGAGCTGAGCTCTTAGGCAGAAGTTCTTCCCTGTGAGGGTGCTGAGGCGCTGGCACAGGGTGCCCAGAGAAGCTGTGGCTGCCCCATCCCTGGCAGTGTTCAAGGGCAGGTTGGACACAGGGGCTTGGAGCAAGCTGCTCTATGGAAGGGGTCCCTGCCCGTGGCAGGGGTTGGAGCTGGAGGAGCTTTAAGGTCCCTTCCAACCCAAACCACTCCATGACTCTATGATTTACATTAGGAAGGGCCACTCTGGTCCGATGCCTGCAGTGCCGGGGTGGGAGGATCAGGACTCCCACCCTGCTCCCATGAGGCAGGAGGTGTTCAAAGCGATGCCCAGCCCGGCTTTCCTGCCAGGAGCCTCCCCCCAGAAAGGAGCCCCGCTGCCAGCAGAGAGTAGGAGGTAATTTATGGTGGCTGCATCGCAGAGCTCGGCGGCGCTAATAAAGTGCCAGCTAAAGCCGTTCCCGGCTGCGCCTGGCGATAGATCTTGCCTTGTCAGGTTGGCAAATTAAAATGTTATTGATGGGGGAAGTGCAGCAGCAGCTTAGATTTATTCATTACTCTCAATTCTAGTTTTCTTTCTCCTTCATCCAGCTGTAAACTCCTTTGGGCAGCGCTGGGAGCCCCAATCCCCACTGGCCAGTGGCTCCCCGCTGCATCCCACCCTGTTAGGATGGACTGAGATTCCCTTTCTTGTGTTACTCTTTTTCTCCCCAAGACAGGGCAAAAATGTGCCCGACAGAGGCTGGGGGCTGCATCCTCCCTGCCCCACCAGCATCTTCGCAAGGAAACCTCCCAGAACAATGCTCCCCACAGCTGGATTTATGGAAGGAGGGGCTCTGAGGAGAACTGGGATTACTTTGGTCAAGCCCAGGTGGAGGAGACTTTATGGAAGCAGCCGCATCAAAAGCAGTGCTGCTCTGTGGGCAGGGAAGTGATTAAATAGAAAGTTTAGCACTGGACTGATCCTCTACAAAAGGAACTCAGCAGAAAAGGCTGCTTTTGAACCATGTGGCTCCAAGCAAACCCTATTTCAAATCCCAACCCATCACCTTGGGCCATGTTTTCCCTCTGGCTGCTCCTGGTCCCTAATTTGCCTTCAAAGAACAGGTCCGACAAAGAGCAGCCCCAAAATCGGACTCAGGGGTGTTTGTTCCTCATTGGGAAAAGCCACAAGGGAATATATTTATAAACTCATAATGCTGATGAGGAGCCCCGATACGATGGGGATGGAACCTGGCAATGCAGGGCTGGGTCAGAATTGCAAGCTCAGCTTTATTTTTTGGGGGGAAATGGAGTTTTGCTTCCTGTTCTTGTGCAGAGGGTCTTAGCCATGATCTCTGCTTGCATGGCCCTGGCCAGCACAGCTCTGGCCGTTGGGAACTTAGTCTGGGAGTCCCAGCCAAATCCAGGCTGGACAGTGGGGTACCACTCTCTGTATGTTGGCCATGGAAAAGCAAAGGGGCCACATGGGAGGAACCTGCCCCAGCTCTATGGGGACATCGCATTTCAGAGGCTGCTGAGATTTCTTCCTCCTCTCCCACCTGATGGATGTGACTCTTGAGCCAGTGGGTGCTTTGCCGAGGCCCCCATCTCATCCCTTGCATCCTTCCAGGGTGTACAAATTGACAAAGAAGCTGGTAATTCCATCTTTTCCTGCTTTTTTAGCCACCTTAGCAATCCCTGGTCTTATTCCCTTGCGCTCCCAGGAGATGCACCAAATGCAATTTGAGGTATGGGGGATAGACACTTCAAACTATAAATCAACATATTTACACATTAGCTTCTGATTCAAACACACCCTCGTTACTTAAAAAAGATATTATTCCCTCTCTGCCTTCTTTTATCCTCACAAATAAATGCAGCCCAGCCTCTGTTTCTGCAGGATATTTATCACAGAGGCACATTATTACCCATTGCGCTCTTATGAGCCCACAAGTAGCAGGCTAACTTTAGTCTTGTGTGCTCTTTTAGCTGAACAATCGCAAAGTCTTAATTCAATTCTTAAGTACACCCATCAAGGGATAAATATGGATATAGAGGTGGACTTGGGAAATCCAGCTGTGTTGGCTTGGCTGAAAAATAACCCTGGGATGTGGCTGTGGGTGGGAGAGGTGGGGTTTTTATTCCCTTCCTCGGTGCTTTATTAATATTTCTCTTCCACCATTAGAGATTCAGGTCTCATCTGCTTCTTCTGAGATCATCAAGGGGGGGAAAAGAAAGCCCAGGGTGGTGGAGCTGGAAGGGGTTATATAGGGCGGGTGGTGAGGGGCTGCTGCAGAGCTTGGTGGCGCAGGGGAGACGGCTCCTGCCCCGGCACCATGGGCTGGATCCTGCAGACCCTCTGCTTGCTGCTGCTCATCTCCTCCTGCCCCTGCGCCGTTATCACCGGGGTAAGTGCCTCCTCTATCCCCTACCTGGGGGAGTCCTTATTCATTTCGATTATCTTGGGAATGAAGGCAGGAATTGATGCTTTTCAGTGCGTTGGTTTGGGTGCTTGTCCGAAGTTTATTACCTGGTTTTCCAGCACAGGGATGCTGTTCCCACAGCCAGCCCCAGCCCATGTGAGTGTAAAGTCACACCATTGAGCTGTTATTTCTGTTTCTCAGCGCTGTATCAGCCCTGCGTGTGGGAAAACAGGGCATTTGAGGAAGTTTTCCAGCAGGGAAAAAGCGCTGTATCTTCACAGGCATCCTCCAGAGCACATTCCCAACTGGGACAAGGGCTCCAGCACCCCAAATTGGCTTTCTCCCTCCTAAATTTAGAGAAGTGATGATGGGAGGTGAAGTGTGGGGATGCAAAGGAGAGCGGCAGCGCTGTGTCAATGGGCTGCTGGGGCTCAGCATGTCCCACAGCTCAGCGCTGCGGAGCAAGCGCTGGACCGAGGTGATGCCAGAAGCAAGAGGAGCGGCGAGTTTTGGGGACAGGATCCAGGCTTTGTGATCCTTCAGGAGTCCGGATGCTGGTTTCAGCAAACCAGGCTTGGATGAATCCCCCCCTTTTACGCTGGGCAGCAGAAAATCTTCTGTTTAAAACCAAGATGAGCTGTTTGTATCCCAGCTCCTCTCTGCCTCCCGGCTTTTCCCAGCTGGTGGGAATTCTGTGGCTGGCTTTGACTGGCTCTTGGCTCCTTTTTGCCCTCACAATCAGACCTCTTTCTTTCAAGCCTGTGATTCTCTTTGGCTGGATCTGCCCAACCTGGAGCTGCGAAGCCAAGGCGGGGGCAGCCACCTCCATCCAGGGCCAGGCAGACCTGGGCTGTCATTCCCAGGGCTTAAATGGCTCATGTTGAATAACCAGGGAGAAGAGGCTGCATGTGCCTGCAGCCCCTCTCAGCCCCTGTCAGTGCCCCTGGCTTTGCAGGTGAGGGTCCATCATTGCTGAGATTTCATTTTCAATGGTATTTGGTTCTTACAAGGTGGTTCGGATGCTCGAGGAGAATTAAATTCCCTTCAGGAAAGGGCAGCCCCTACAACAGCCCCTTATTGCCTCCCTGTGAGAGAGCAGCACCCTAAAATCGTGTTCTTTCCATTGCTCTCATGGGCTTTTCCCCAATTCCCACACCTCCTTTTCCATATGAGCCACGGACTTGTGGCTGAGAGCTCCTGTGATAGCGGTACCCTAAAAAGGAGGTGATCCCATTTGGGGTTTGGATGAGCCCCATTGGTTCTTCCTGTGCTACCCTAAGGAGAATGGGTTGGAGCAGGGGTTGGGGGTGCAATGAGCTGCTCTTGTGATGGCCAACACAGCCTGGGGAGCAAAATGGGACCTGTTTCTTGCTTGATGTTGCCCCCATCCCCTCTTCTGACCGTCCTCATGGGCTTCCAGGTGTGGTGGTGAGCTGGTGCAGCATTTGCATCTGTGCCTCAGTTTCCCCATCCCAGGAGAAGAGGTTTCTGATTCCCATTTCCCACCTGCCTTGGGTGGAAGAGGCTGAGTCATTGGCATTACTCTCTATTAACAAAAAAAAGGCCCCCAGAATGGGCATGTGCATTATTTAGCAGGTTTTACAGGCTCAGACAGGTGATGGCTGTGCACGATGGACAAGGAGCTTACCCTCAGCGCCGCCGCTCTAACTTGGCACCAAGTCTGCTTTTAAGTTGGGCAGCGGCAAACTTCTCCCCTGTGTGTCCCAGCCCCGCACGCACCAGGGGCATCCCCCTTCATTCTGCAAACCCCAGCACCACAACCCCTGCCCTGCCCCGAAACCTCCCCAGCTCAACCCTCAATGGGACCTGTTGTTCCCCTTCTCCCTTAAATCCCCAGCCGGGGCTTACACCCAGGGGCCGTTTCTCCCCTGGCCCCTTCCAGAAGTGGGAGAGGGATGTTTTCCCAGGAGATTCCACTCACATCATGCCTCTGCCCAGGCCTGCGAGCGGGACCTGCAGTGCGGCAGCGGGACCTGCTGCGCCGTCAGCCTGTGGCTGCGGGGGCTGCGGATGTGCACCCCCCTGGGGCAGGAGGGGGACGAGTGCCACCCCTTCAGTCACAAGGTACCAGCATGGGGGTGCTCACTGGGGGCTGGGGTGGGGGATAAGGACTGGGAAAAGGGGGTTGGGGTTGGGTGGGGTGGATTTGGGGTGAAGCACTGGGCAGCATCATCAGGGTCTCTTCATCAGGGACTGTTGCTGCTGCAGTTCCTGCTGCCTGAGCTCCCATGAATGTAGAGACTTCTAGATCCTGCCCCTCTACTCTGCTCTCATGATACCCCACTTGCAACACTGGGTGCAGTTCTGGTGCCCTCAACATAAGGAGGACGTGGAGCTGTTGGAGCAAGGCCAGAGGAGGCCACGAGGGTGATCAGGGGCTGGAGCACCTCCTGTGTGGAGCCAGGCTGAGAACATTGGGGCTGTTCAGCCTGGAGAAGAGAAGCTGCGTGGAGACCTCAGAGCAGCTTCCAGTGTCTGAAGGGGGCTACAAGGATGCTGGAGAGGGACTCTTCATCAGGGACTGGAGTGACAGGACAAGAGGTGATGGGTTCAGACTGAAACAGGGGAAGTTCAGGTTGGATCTAAGGCAGAAGCTCTTCCCTGTGAGGGTGCTGAGGCGCTGGCACAGGGTGCCCAGAGAAGCTGTGGCTGCCCCATCCCTGGCAGTGTTCAAGGCCAGGTTGGACACAGGGGCTTGGAGCAAGCTGCTCTATGGAAGGGGTCCCTGCCCGTGGCAGGGCTTGGAGCTGGAGGAGCTTTAAGCTCCCTTCCAACCCAAGCCATTCTATGGTTCCATGATCATGGTGGTTCCTTACCTCAGACAGCATTCGTAACAGCTGCTGCCTGTACAGACTTCCCTGCTTTCAGTGTTCCACAGTCATTGCCTACATGGCTTTCATAACATCCTGCACCTCTGGTTTTCCTTTCAAGGGGCAGATCTGTGGTCAAAGATTATCCAGACCTAACACACATTGCCTGACCAAAAGTCTGCTAAAGGAGTTCTCAGAACTGATTAGATATTGGCAAGGTCCTTAAGGAGCAAAGCAAAGAGATGCTTCATAGCAGGACAAGTAGGAACAACAGAGCTGGTTTCAGCCTCTGAAGTATTTTGAGCACCCCCCTGCCTTTCTGTTCCGGCCTTAATCCTCAGGATGCCCCATGGGTGCTGCAGACCTTGGCTCAGAGCTGGGACCGAGCTGCCTGGCCCATTCATTTCCATGAAGAGCACCAGCCACGCTGCTCCAAATTGGGTTGTAAAAGCTCTGCCAAGCGTGGCAAAGCCGAGTTAATGCCACAGAGCTGCCCCAGCGCCGTGATTTCTGTCTGATAAGAACCCCCAGCTCACTGGGATTAGCCCCAAGCGTGACACTGCTGCAATCCCTCATCCGTGGGGGTGTAGCAGCAGCAGCCCAGCCTGGCGGGGAGCATCCCTCTCCGTGCTCTTGTATTGATTTGGCATGGTGGGAGCCAGATTGAAGGATGCTGAGGCTCCTGCTCACACGAGGAAGGAGCAACAGGTTTCAGAGGGATCCGAGACTCATCGCAGGCGTATCCCTATTAAACCTCTGAGAAGAGCCAGAGGTTTTCTTGGGGCTTTGATCCCATTTGATACTGTTCTGACGTCCTCATCTCTCCCGTCTCTCTCCACAGGTCCCTTTCTTCGGGAAGCGCCAGCACCACACCTGCCCCTGTTCACCCAACCTCATCTGCTCCAGGTTCCTCGACAGCCGCTACCGCTGCTCCGTCAACTTCAAGAACATTGATTTTTAGGGTGATGCTTCTTGTTCTCCATCCGTGAGCCCCCAGCACCCATTTCTTGCCCTCTTCCATCACCATTGGGTGCCCACATAGTGCCAGGCAACCTTAAAAGTGCTTTTCCAAGGTAGAAAGTGTTGTTATAAACTGTATGTTATATAGGGAAACTGAGGCACGGTCAGGCCAAACTGATGTGGCATGTGGCTCTGCCCCAGCCTTTAGCAGATTCTGACTCCAGCATCCTCTGGATGGAAGGACAGTGTGTGTGTGCCAAATGTCTGTGGCCCCAGAAATCCCTTTCGTAAGGGATTTGCAACTCCTACTGGATAAATAATTCCTGTAATGATAATTTCCATTGTGATATTGCCCGACCGTGTCTTATCCGTGTGTTTCTTCCCTGGAAGCAGCTCTTCAAGGTGGTGATGAATGGTCTAACATAGCCTGCAATTAAAAGGAGCCACACTCAAGTAGCTGTGGGGAATTAAGGACTGGGTTTTCCCAACGTTCCAGCAATGCAGTGTGTTTGGCAGAGGCCGAGGCAGGGTGCCAGGTGGGGGTCTTTGGGGTCTTTTGGCCTCAGCACCTGCCTGTGGCTCAGACACCGTATGAGGACTGGAGGCTTCTCTATGTCAGCTGAACTTGAGAAGGGAATGGGCTACTCAGGTTACCTTCCTAATAAAAGTGATCCCAGACACGTGCTTTCAGTTTCCCCCTGAAATAGATACTGTGAAAAACTTGTGTATCATCACTTGCGCTTCCCTCCTGCTTCTTAGAGCAACCCCTGGCAAGAAAAAACACAAAGAAATAAATAAGAATTATCAGCATTTACAGCTGATTCCCAAAAAAATCCCGCAAAACATCCCAATCAGTTTCCTTTTAAGCAATGCTTGAACACAAAACTTCTTCTGGGGCTTTGAATATGTTCAATGCTAGCTCTGGAAAGCCCTTGGGGTTTGGTGCTGGGAGCTGTGGCTCTCCTCTCTGGGCCTTCCTTGTTTGGTGGGTTTGGGTGGATTTTGGTTGTAGAGCAGCAACGGTTTCTATTTCTAAAGACCCCAAAGACCCCCAAATGCATGCGTGTGGCAGACGCTGGGTTTTCATGGGGAGTGAAGTAAATGAGATTTGGTGTTTGATGCTGGGTGAAAGCTGTCCTGCCCTTGTTTCTCCCTCCAGGAATACTGCACATTTGGTGACAATAAACCACTGCAACGACCAGATTCATCCTATCTGGGTGGTTTTTTACACAGCAGAAGTTTTGCTTCTTCCTTGCAAAAGAAGAACCCTGCAGTGGGGATGCTGCAGCTGCCCCGGCCCGTTGCTCAGCACTGGGACCATGGTAGAAGTGTCTGGGGGACACCCTGGATTGCTGGATAGAAAGGGGTTCACCACATCAATATGGGGGGAAGAAGTCAAGAAAATCATGGAATCCCAGAGTGGTTTGTGTTGAGGGGACCTTAAAGCTCCTCCAGCTCCAACCCCTGCCACGAACAGGGACCCCTTCCATAGAGCAGCTTGCTCCAAGCCCCTGTGGCCAACCTGGCCTTGAACACTGCCAGAAAAGCACAATATTTCATAACAATGTTAAAAAAAATCTATAGTTTCATGGTTTGGGTTTCTTTGATTAAGCTGATTCCTTTGTGCCCTCGCATCATGAGGTTTTTACACATCCACAGCTGTGTATGTGTGGAAGTGATGTCTCATTTCAGTTTCCATAGTTTAGAGCAATCCGGTCACTTAGTTGTTTCTCCAGAAAGAATCTCTATTAAATGCCCCTTTCCCAGTAATGAACCACTCTGTGCTATGAGATGGCCTGGAAACAACAGCTAATCCTCACTTATGGTCTTTACTGCTATGCAAAACAACAGCCAAAACCTGATTTATTTATCTGATGTTCATTTTCCCCCACAGTGCTCAGGGTGGTTCCTTCTCTAATTTGGTTTCATTGCTTTGATGCAGGAGATTGACAAGGAAATTACCTCCATCCATGGAAAACCCTATTAAAAACTGAGTTTGGTTCTTTCCTCCTCTGCAGCTGCAATGAACACGCTCAGCAGGTGACAAGGAGAGAGATCCAAGAGTCCAATAGTCCTTGCTGCTGCTTCATTTCTCCTGTGCTGAGGGCTAAGGGGCTGTTTGCATTCGTTATTGATAAATGAGGCTCCATCACTGATGGGGATGGGAGATTGCTTACCTGATGTGGACGGGATGCAGAGGGAGCGATCCAGAGGTCACATAGCACTGCTGGAGGGTGGGAATCCCTCATGCCCAAGCACAAGAGGGACCCAAGCCTGGATTTTTACCTCGGCTCCATCATAGGAATTTTCTCATTGTTATGAGCAAGAAAAACGAGCCTGGTGCAGAGGGAACTGTGGGTCTGAGGGTCAGCAACACATGGAGCAGCCCCTGCCAGGATGGACAAGACACAGCAGGAGCACCCGCGGGCTGTAGCTGTCCTATCGATGAGTGGAATGGGAGAGGGAAGCCGTGGCCTTATTCCTGGCAGGACCAACAGCCCAAATGCTGTTGGGAGGCAGCTCCTACACCCTCCTGGCATGCCTATTCTGCACTGGTGCCAAGAGGCCCTGGCAAATGCCATCCTGCAATGGGCTTCCTGCATGAGAGCATCCCCCATGGCCAAAGCATCCCTGCCCACATCTGCGTTTACACATGCAATAAAGAAACAAACCAGCTAAAAGCTTCCGAGCAGGAATTAGAGAGGGGCAAACACGTATTGGGGCTGGCTACATGCCGGGAAAAGTCTATCCTGGAGTGCCATCTCGTGGCTGCGGTGCCAGCACTGTGCTCCTGTACATTGAGGAAGCGCAGGAATAGCAGCCTGGTGGCAAAAGGATGCTCCAGGGCTTGCTCGGAGATAGCGGCTCTAAGGAGGAGGGAGACGCTTCTAAGTGACAAATACTTCACATGTGACCAGAGTCCAACGTGCTCCAGGGATAAAAAGCAGCCAGGGCATCATCCTGATAAAGCAAAGAGGGTTTCTTTTGTCTTCTTTTCTTCTTTTTCTATGGCAGCACAGAATTTCAAGTGGGAATTCAGGCTGTGCGTGTGCTGGATGACATGACAGATTGGCTCATTAGGGCTTGACTCAAGAATAGCACAGTTACTAAGAGATTTCTATGGATTTCATTGAGCTTTGGGCCTCTATTTAGGAAGGTGCTAAGCTGCAAATTGTGTGGGATAATGGATTTTCTGGCAGGTTTTCGTCAAGCACCAGCTGAGTGTTGGCACTGGGTATTCATAGCCTGGTTTTCCTCCTCTTCACTTTAGGATGAACTAGAAACAAGCTATTGTGGCTGGAGAATTTTAATGCCTGACCCTGAGAGGATCCCCCTCAGACCTGGCCTCCTGCAGCGGACAGTGTGAGCCAGACTGCTGGGGAAGCAGCTGCACTGGAGTTCTGGAGCTCTTGAATGTCCCAGGTCTCAACCCAGCCCCATGATTTCCAGCATGGAGCAGCCCAAAGCCAAGGACAAAAAGCTGAGTCCAAATAAACAGGATTTTCTGCATGCCAGACTTCGAAGCATCTATTCTTTTATTTGAGAATAAAGTTTACAAGTTAATGAGAATCAGGTTGTCCGTCCATCCATCCATCCATCCATCCATCCATCCATCCATCCATCCATCCATCCATTCCAGTCCCTGTTTGCTAGGGGAGCAGAAGCAGTAAAGATGAGCTCATTGCTGACCAGGATGAGCTCTAAAAAATATCAAAGAAGGAGGAAAAGGAGAAAACCTGCTGTGAAATAGAAACAACGACATGGCAGAGCTGCTAGAGGGGATTGAGGGATGAATGGAGAGGAGCTGAATGTCTCAGGGTGCTGCTCTCCCAGATGTGCGTCCTCCAGCTGTCCCCACAGATGGTAACTTGAAAATGATGGCACTGAGATGAAACAGCTCTCACAGCTCCTGCTCCTGGCTGGGATGATGTCCTGGGTTCAGCAGTAGCAGTCATGTTTTTTCCTTTGTGTTAGCTGGTGCAGTGCTGTGTTTTGACTTCTAGTTTTGAGAACAGCGTTGGTGAAGCCGATGTTTTCGGTTGTTGCTAAGTGATGTTTACCCTGACCAAGGACTCTGTGAGGCTCATGCTCTGCCAGGGAGGAGGGGAAGCTGTGAGGAAGCAGAGACGGGGCGCCTGACCCGGGCTAGCCGGGGAGGTATTCCATACCACAGCACGTCATGCCCGGGGTGGGGGGTAACTGGGAGTTACCCGGAAGGACAGGGGCTTCCGGGTGGAACTCGTTTTCTTGGCCGGTGGTATCGTATTCTCTTCCCTTGTTATTTTCCCTTATCATTGTTTTAGCTGATAGTAGCGGTGGTGATTTGTTGCTGGACTGTTCTTGTCTCAACCCGTAGGAGTTGCACTCTCTCGATCCTCCTCCCCGTTCCTCCGGGAGCGGGGAAGGGGAGAGCCCCGGTGCAGGGAGGGGGGGGGAGACGAACACGGACCTTGATTGTTGTCAGCTTGGCACCACTCACTGGGAGTGAGTGAACAAGTTACCTGACTGGGTTTAAACCACGACAGATGACTCTGTGGGATTTGTAAGGTGAGGACGAGGATGGTGGAAGGATGGGGAAAAGCTCAGGTCAAAAGGGGGATTTGTCTCCTGAAGTTGTGCTGGTCATGACCCAGATCCATCTCTCTGGGGTGCCAAAGACCTCGTCGCAGAAAGCCAGCCCACAAAAAGACCCAATCCACCCCCCAAATAACAACCCTCCCAGCCCAGGATTGCAGGATTTCTGCATGGGGAAAAATCCCAGCAAGCCCAAAGTCATGTTTTCCAACAGAGCAGGAATAAACCCCAAATATAAACCCCATCTTTCACCACTCCGTTCTGAATGAAACCGCAAAGCAGAGATGCTGGCACATTGTGTAACGATCATATTGAATCTTTAGGAGATGAGACATCAAGTATAACAGATGTGGGATAGAAAAGCGGATGTGTAGACACTGCTTGAGAAACTGTGATTTTAATGTAGGCAGAAACATCAGCAAAAGCCAAGCGAAACAGCGAAGCTGGAACAAAATGTTTTCGGAAGGAAACCTGCTGGCATTAGAGGGAACGGCAAAATGATCTGGTGCTGGTTTCTCCCTTCCGAAGTGCTGATGGAAATGTGCAGGGTGCAGAGAACCACAAGTGCCTTTTCACGGTGGGAAGCTGAGCCGTCGAGATACCTCAGCCCTCGTTGCTCTGTGCCCCACTGGCAGCAATGTAAGTGACAATCAAAGCCACGAGGGCTTTGTGCACCAGCTAACCCCTGAGTCAAGCATTTGTTGCAGGACCTGGCAGTGTTCAAGATCAGGTTGGACGAGGCCTTGGGTGATATGTTTTAGTGTGAGGTGTCCCTGCCCATGGCAGGGGGTTGGAACTGGATGAGCTTAAGGTCCTTTCCAACCCAAACCATTCTATGATTCTATGAGAAATCCCCTTCCCTCTCTCAAAACTCAGTTTTCCCTCAGAAATCCTATTGAGCCGTGGTGTCCCGGACCTTCCTTGGTGGCTGTGCCACCATGACTGGTCACCATCCCTCTCCTCCTAATCCCTTCACCTGGTTGCTTGTCTCCATCCACCACTGCTGTGCCAACAGGATGATGTAGGCAGGAAGACAAAGAAACAAATACAACTTGTAATTTATTCTATTCACCAGCTAGTTTTTCAGCCAGAGCATTCCCAAGTGTGGGAATTGGTCAGAGCCCCCCCAGATTCTAAGTGATGGGAGGGGAGAAACTATATTAAAGGGATTAAAATAGCAGGGAGCTGGACCCACGTTCATCCAGCTGGGTGCCACCGAGCATTTAATGTCGTTTTGCCCTTATTCCTCCTCTGATAAATGGGGGAATTCTCTGTAGATGGGGAGCTGCACTCTGAAGCTATGGACGGAGAAGGTAAGAGCGGATGAGCATCAAATTAACAAAAACCAGACTGATGGGCAGGGCAGAG